GGTTTTTTAAGCACGAAGTACAGCGGTGGCGCTTTCATCAAGGGAATAATAGGGTTTCACAATTCCAATGCACGGACTGAAATTCCTGTTAGACAAAAAATGCCAACACTTGCATTCAAAACCCTCTATATGTGGCTACCAATACTAAAAATGTTTTGTTGCACTTTCTCCGCTTGAGTACTTTCACTCGCTCAATCAAATTTTGCGTCTGTTATGAGACACTCTGTACACCCTAGTCCGGGCTCTGGGATGTTTTTGATACTGCACACCAATATGCCTCCGACTTATGCGAGTATATAATGATGTATCCGTCATCAACTCCTCACTAATAAGATGACTGTTTACTTTGGAACCAAAATTAACCTCTTTCTAACGATAGATATTCTTAGCAGTGTGCACTAATTTACCCAACAAACAGAGGTCATAACTGAAAGTGTGTTTCTTCTGGACGGGATCCGCTGAAATCCTCATTTCTGTGAAAGCCGGCTTGTTTGTCTGTCAGCGTCCTAATTTCTTAATCGTGGTTGCTTTTCACACAATGCACTGTCTGTATGGTAATCTATCTAGAAATTTGTGCGTTTCTTCAACTATTTTCCACATTAAGCCCGGAACTTCGAATTCCTCTTATAAATTTTCAAGACTGATGTATATTATGCCACGAGCAATGACCAATAAAGGTCGCTGACCTCTAATGAGACTGTGCTATCATGAGGTGGAGAATTCAATACTGAACTTTTGTCCAAGCGACTAAGCCAAAGTGGCGGAGTAACCTACCCTAGGGTTAGTCTGACCAGAGTTTCAAATGCGCACCAAAATCGTCGGGGGTTTTGCTATTTTTGATACGTAAGGATTCGCGAATACCTGAGGTTTACCACAAAGCCTCTGAAAAAAGCGTGGGTGCGTTTCAACAGGTAGCCAAAATCTTGGGTTTTTCGTGGTCAGCCCTTTCAAGAACAATCATATGAAGACTTCACAACTAGTTTTCTGTTTAGCAATGAGATCCAGCTGAACACAGGTCACATTCAACGTATCACGTTCCATAGAATGTCTGTTTTGACAGACCACATTCAAAGTCTTTCATCCTCCCAACATTGGAGCCGTATTCATACTCAACACCAAAAAAAAAAACTAAAATTTTTAACAAAAACCATTTTGCTTTGAATAGTTGCTCCACCATGCGGACTACTGTCCACGGTGATGCTGTCCGGTTTTTACCTTGGTTTAATTATTAAAAGAGTGTATATATTTTGGTTGTTTCCAAATGAATCGTTTCAAGTAGATGAGCTTGATCACGTGTGCGAGGTAGGCGTAAAAGAGCATGGTTTGCTATAAACCGCAACGCCACGGGGAAAACATCAAATAGATCTGGCACTTGCGTAAGCTTTTCATTTTTAAAGCGGTTACATGAAAAATAAGAAGAAATAGCTCTCAAAAAGGAATTTTGGGCAACCAGATGAACGGTTTTCGGTCAACAAACACTCCATAAAGATCTGGCACTTGTGTAAGCTTTTCATTTTTAAAGTGGTTACATGAAAAATAAGAAGAAATAGCTCTCAAAAAGGAATTTCGGGCAACCAGATGAACGGTTTTCGGTCAACAAACACTCCATGAACTTCAAAATCTTGGAAAATCCGAAAAAAGACACTCGAGGCGGATGTCTTCTCGTGAATAAACAAAACAAAACGCTCACAATGACATCTCTCTTGCTTAACGCCAAAATACTCTTACACAGGTTCATGGGTTTTCAAAACTAGCCTCCAATTGTTTGCACATCAGTTTCGTTTTCATTAGAGATACTCGTTAATGGATGTGTCGCACAAAGGCCACCTCAAGTTTCGGTTGGCACGATATTTGAGATATCACAGTATATTTTCGTAAAGGAAACTACTCATAAGGTTGCTGAAAATTGTTAAACAGTACACGACTGGTTTCGCCCTTCTTGAAGAACATCATAGTCTAGAGGTTCACTTNCACGATATTTGAGATATCACAGTATATTTTCGTAAAGGAAACTACTTATAAGGTTGCTGAAAATTGTTGCACAGTGCACGACCGGTTTCGCCCTTCTTGAAGAACATCATAGTCTAGAGGTTCACTTGAGTCTCCTGTGAAAACCAAATTGATTTGCAAATGGGTGTGTTTGTCAAAGTCAGTCCATTTTGGGTTCAAGTAGAACATACGATTGACGGTAACTCGGAGACTGCGCCAACGTGATGAGCCCCAAATAGATACAAACCGTTCGCGGGCTGTCGGAGAGTCTTCTGAAACCTCGTGAGTAGTAGCTTCCTTTTACGTCAACTCGCTTCATAACTGCTATGAACGACTGATTATGAATCAGAACATTCGGTCTTACTTAAGAGCACTCTAAGATTGCGGTGAAGAACAGCTCTACTGTGAAGGAACTTATGATCATGGATTCCGCCATCGTTTATCACAAATGTGTTATCTCTGATCAGGCTTAGTTAGTGATCGTGTCATTTTGAAACTTGGAACAATGTGACGTGTATGGTGACCGCCTCAGACTGATAGAAATAGGTCACAAACGAAGGAGAGTAAAGCGGTTACAATCACAAGGTTGTGGCCTCCTTAATGGGAATTCTGTCAGACACATATACCCTGTAAATTGTCTTGTCATAATTTTGATGAGTGTTTATACGAAATTTCGAACAACATGGTTTCCAGTAGATCACCTATTTTGTACGCTTGATATTCTGGCCTCATCCACAGCCTCTGGACGATATCCAATCTGAAGACTTTGAACCAGCCAATTCTGAGCCTCTTCTGCAGCCACCAAGCTGTCTGATCACGTCAGATGGCCTCAGAGAGAGAGAGTTCTGCTCCCCTGTCCAATAGTCTGTAACTGTTCAGTTGGCATTTTTCTAATAAATAACTCCGCAGCAAAGGCCTCCTTTCTTTCACCTGTACTTGCAGGTCTTAGCTGTCAGTTTCTCAAACCGGATAGAAATGGTGCATCAAAGTGACCTATTCATATGTTAAATCACTTGTTCCGACCACGTGAACTACTAATGTGTTTGCACTGTGTCGGATCTTCTTTTGATCAGGGACGTGATCTAGCTCCACACTCCCCACGTGATCGTTTTCAGTGCGCGTGGTCAGGTAGTAACCATGATAGGCAAAATTAGGAACTCCCGAGGATGAACATCGTTCGTCAGTGACTAGTGTGTACTGGAATTATATTTCAAACTATTCATAAAGCTCCGAGGATTGGTCGCACCCTTCAAAACAAATTACGATTTCTCAGCTACTTGCTGAATTAAGTACCTATGCGCAGCTAGTAACTCCGTCCGTCGTGAAACAACTTGCTCGCGTTGTTAGATAAGCGCCTTTCTAGGATGCTGTCAAATGCAGCTTAATCAGAAGGATCAATAAAAGTACCTTCGTGAGGCCAATTAATCTCCTGGAATAGCGTGCGCGCACATTCGTGTAGTAGACACATCCTAGACAACAAACTAATGATGTTTCCAGACAGCTGAAAACTTGGTGTCTTGGAGGAATTACATGTGGCGTGGTAATTTGCTTCGCTGGGTAAAATTCACGCAAAGTTGATGACTCTAGCGCATCAAGTCGGCAAAATTAAGAGAGTTGCGTTAAAAACATTCCCGTCTCCATCGTTTCTGGAAACTTTGACGTGACTCTCAGACTTGATGAGATCATCGTAAAGGCAAACCATCAGCCGAACGGATTACGCGCATATTCGATGCTTCAGTCGCAGTTTCCAAGCATTTCACAAGCGTACTTTTATGACTTTCCTGGAGTCGAATCCGACAACACTAGACCTATGGACTTTTAAACAAGGAGGCATCCTGAGACACTGAAGTCATTTCGCAATCACGAAGATCTCCTCCTCGCGCACCTGAATGACGGGAGCGGCACAGAGATAAGAGTGAATAGTTTGAAAGAACTCTCGCAATCTTGAATGGCAGAAACCACATTTAGAAGTCACCATCCTGACGAGGACAAGACCAGCCAGATCAAGAACAAGATAATAAACCTCTTGGGACGAATGAAAAATGCCGACACTATTACCCAGACTAAACTTAGCAACATCAAACCCCTACAACCTTTTATTCCGAAGTTCTATGGACCAATACAAATTCACAAATAAGATCTAACGCCTAGAACCATCCTCGATAGGCTCAGACCTCCATTTTCTGCCACGGCTAAATGGTTAGCTCGAATTTTTGAACCGGTTCGTCGGACGACTTTTCAGTATAATTTCTTATACATGTTTTCATCCATGGGAGCAATCGGGGAGCTGTCACTAACGTCTCGCCCACGGAAATCATCTGTCATCGTTCTGATTTGATTAGGAATGTTGATGGCATCGGAAAGGGCTCGCCACTAGGTGTACCTCTTACCGAGGCGTTCACAAGACGTTCTGAGGACCAACAACTTTGTTCAATCATAGGCTATACGTTCGCCAACACAGACACGTTTCCAAAACTACCGGAGATTTTAATCAAATATATCCGACAATCCATTTTACTTCTACTAAGACTAAATGACGCCTAACTGAAATTCGGTTCACTGGGAAGCGATTTGGATGGGGCCGTACACTAACTTGGAGAGCTTTGTAATAGCTTTGCTCCATATTTTACTGACGGAGCAAAACAACTTGCAATGAAAGTGAAAAGCAAGCCAAACTTCAGTCGCCAGCAGTGTATGCTTCGCAAAACCGATTATCCGTACAGGTTCATCTGAAAAGTCATGGATACTAGAAAGCGGAAAACCAGGTCACATGACGCGACATCACACAATTGGGCAATAACTTCCGGCAGCTTTATCCACTTTGGTCCACAGCTACTCGATAGATGAAGTTACACCCAAACGTTGGACTGCCCATTCTTCCTCAAAATGTGTCGGTCTGTTCTTCCATTTGGCTCTCATTTGGCTCACTCATTTGGCTGATATGACTCATATGGTTAATTATGACACCACCTTTTGTATATTGTACCATGTGTTCATATATCGATCAAGATCCGCTCAACTCCAATGCACGGCCACAGCTCAGGCAACTACGATTGTTTCACACAACCCAAGTGATGAAATTACGTTGTGAGTCTTCCATGGCCTGGTCACGTGACTGCTGGCCACTCGAGTCAATCGACCACCCTGTGAACAGTTTTCACACTGTAACCCACAGAATCCATAAGTACTAGTCACTCGACTTTAGTTTTTTCTTACCGCTGAACATCTATTGACCATAGATGGTGAGTATTCATCAACTTGTATTCCGAGTTTTGCTTATACTAGTATTCCGTATGCTCCTCGCTCAGCTCCTTAGGGAATGACCACCGCTCCATCAGACTGAACGCTCCCCTACCAATAATCCTTCGTGTTTCCAATGTCATTTCATCTTCGTCTTTGCGATTCTCTGTGTTTATTGCACCTGTGTAAGTGATGTCACTAAGCATGGACCACACACTGAGTGTGATTCACCAGTCTCACAAATGTTTGAACTGCCAACCAATCACGTATCCCTCAGCTTTGAAAGTAAACATATCAAGTCCCATGTCTGTGGCTGGTAATGTTTACCTTATTTATGCAGGAATGTGCAGCACAACACCTGCTGTATTATCAGAGCCTTCATCACACGTGTGAGATTGACCACTTGTCCACAGATAGCAGAGTAATTCAGTCCTGGGGATGCCAGAATACAATAGCTTACGCAGACTTTGAGGACTTTTGACCATGTTGCACGAAACATGCAGACTTTGGCCAGCAGTGATTGAGAGCTCGACCGTGCATGTGAGAAATATGAGCTATATTTTGTTGCGCACAAATCAGCCATGTTCCTTCGGGATACATGTATATACGTAATGCACTACTCACGAGGCTACTGAAAATTCTTCGACAGCCCACGACCGGCTTCACGCTTCCATTTCGGGCTCATCAGGTAGGCGCAGTCCCCGAGTTTCCGTCAACATTATGTCCTACTTGAAACAAAATTGCACGAAAGTAGCGAAACACACCCATCTGCAAACAAGTTTGGTTTTATGGGTGACTCACCTGGAACCCGACTGAATCTCTCGTTTGTGTTTTTTTCCGGTGAGTAGTGCATTGCGTATAGACAGGTATCCCGATATCTGGAATATCGTACCAACTGAAGCATGAGGCGGCCTGGTGCAGTACATTCAGTTTCGTGGAAACCTTACAAACGGGAAATTCAGCTGGGCTCCACGTGTGTCTCTCACAAAACCGAATCTGTTTGCAAATGAGTGTATTTTACCAAACATATTCCCTATTCAGCGTGACACGAAATTTTAGGAGCCAGGGGCTGAAAATGGAAAGGTGACTAGGATTCAACGTTTATCAGAATGCTGCTCATGAGTCGCTTTCCCCGTGAATGCGGGTGAGGAGTTCGTTTTTTTTTAATATTCCGGACAATAGCATTGCTCTAGAAACTGAGCTTCAAAACCTAGTGATAGAGAAATGTTCAAGTTGCAGCGCCAAGTCAGGCATGTCTTTGGACCACAGTAAACGTGAAAAAAACCTTTCTGAAGACACTGACGCTAAGGCACGGCGCAAAGACTGGTCGAACATAGATCCCGCTGCAGGCCTGGCTACAGTTGCGAATGCGTCACGCCACTGTCACACCAAGATAGCACAATGAGTTGTAGACAATGTCATTTAGTAGACAAGACACTGACGCTAAGGCACGGTGCAATGACTGGTCGAACATAGATCCCGCTGCAGGCCTGGCTACATTTGCGAATGCGTCACGCCACTCATACTCACAAACCACTTCACATTAAGCTGACTCATCGGACATCGATTGTCTTCACCGTCTGATGAGCGTAGCAACTACTCATGTGCTGACGCGCCCACCTACACGCACTGGGACCTACATATAGGGAAACCGAACACAGTCAACACACACAGACTCGCGCGCGCGCGCAAGGAGCAGGAAGTCAACCACTCTCCACAAGTCTACGGACAATTATGGAACAAATGTAGCAGTCGCACTGTGGAGAAAAACACGTCCCCGCCGTCCGCACTTTCACCAAGGGACTCTCACATACGAGAAGTCCCCTGCTGACTTACCTTTACTTTATACATGCCGCAAATCTCTTCTGTAAACTAATGTCAACCACAGTAAAGACAGTTTTTAGTGCATACACCTTCTGAATTGTATTATGACCATCCTCAACAATCCACTAATGCATTCTCCATATCCCACAACTACGTACTGTTAATTGAAACTTTCTCCACGAACCAAAAGATACCAACCAGTTCGCCCAAACAGCTGGTCAACCCGACCATTCGATGCGTTATCCTCATCACCGATTCCGTACTTTCAACGCGAACCGCCGTACTTTAAAACGCGAACCGCCGGTCATCCGCACTTTGAAGGTGTACAAAGGCGACTTAAGAATGAAACAGCCAATGGCGTGCATGTTTTGGCTCACCAATCACATATTAGATTTAAAGTACACAATACGGTCCTGCCGGCGGGAAATGTCACGACCAATTATTAGCGAACAGCTTCCCGCGGTCTTACTGTTTGATGTTTCACACACAAACCAACTTTAAGCATGATATTTTCAAAGTTCATTATTACTGACGAGTGAAAACGGAATGGTTTCCTCGCTGTTTGCAAAAATCCCCTGACGGTTTTTCTGGAGAGCCATCTTTTTGACACGGTGTTTTGTTGAGTCTTGGCGGCACCGAGCTGGAATCTTTTGGATCCCAGTACATTTCAAACAACTGTTCGCATGAGGATAGAAAAAAATCTGTGATAAGACTTTTGAAAGTTGGTAGCATAAGGAAATCTGGGAGTTTCTATGGAGGTTTCGTCCTATCATTAAGGCCAATCTATGCTGGAAATTTGAAAGCGCACCGTACAGCTGTTTCGCCTTTATTGTGGATCTTCGACAGTGCGCTTCCCAAGAAGCTCCAGAGAGCCTCGAACCTGTGACCTCTCAATTAGCCATTCGAACTCGACTACGTGATCAGCATTTGATTAACTCGCACTTAGGCAGAATATACCACCAATCAATTTTCAATCATGGGATCACCGTTCCCTAATACAACCATCAATCTGTGAACACCTCATTGGAAGAACTAAATTAATTCGGTAAAACTTCCGTCTGAGAAGTCTTTGATCGCCAAACCAGTCAACACATGACGTGGATTCCGGCCAGTCACACCGTTCAGTCATTCGCTTGTAGCCGACATTCGGTACTCTCTGAAGTTTCGTGAGATGTGCACTGTTGAAGATTTCCACTAAGGGTCAAAGAGAAGTTCTATGCTCTCGGGCATTTCAGAATTCATGAAACGAAGCCTCCAAACACCCCTCCAAGCATCGGAAGGAAGTAGTGTAACGGTGATGCTACTGATTAAGAGGCACGCGAGTAGTATATGTTGTTCTTGGAATTTCGCTTTGCGTCTCTTGAAAAGGGAGATCTTTTGCGGAATTTGTGGAGTCGCTTTGTAGCATTTACTTGGATTTGAGCGATGAATGACTGGAGTCAATGAATATCCAGGAAAGTTCAAGAAGACGTGTTCAGGAGAAGATGGATGTCCAGTTTTTGTAAATAAATTGCAAATAAGAGTTTTGCTTCCCTGTCCAATAGTCTGTAACTGGTCGGTTGAAGGCAGCGAAGGCCTTCTCCCTTTCAGCAGTAGTGTGTTCTTGCCGAAACAATTTACCTGGGCAGAATGAATGGTATTGTTACTCGATCGGAGCGTTGTGTATCCTGTGGGGAATATCCTCGAGGTAGTCAAGCGACACCATTGGAAACAAGTTTTCGTTTGCATTTTCGTTGGTTTTCGTGAGATTTCCAGGTGGAAATTTCTTAGTTTTAACTTAGTCTATAAAAGATTTTCTGCATTAACTTTCTACAAAGTGCACCGCATGCGGATCCGACTGCAACTGGACTTTCTTACCATTTGTCCTTTCATCATCTGAAAAGTACTTTCCATCCAAAGGTCATTAAGCGTTTTAAACAGTTGTTTTCTTTCAACGCTGTTTCCACATTAGGTCGTTCAGAATGTCTTCAAACGATAAAGACGTCGAAATGAACGTCCAGTTATTTTTGTTCTGAAGGCAACCAGTCGAAAAACGCAGCCCAACAATGCTCGGTAACCGGTTATTCTTTCATCACTCTGAAGGGACCGGAAAGTGGATCTGGTGAGGAATGTTCCCCGTGGAAAAGTTTTTACTTTCCCGAACGCTTCTTTCTTGAGGACGTCGCTTACAAATTCCTCTTTGGAAGAGGGCCTGGTACCAGAGATGGTCACATGAAAAAACTAATCACCTTGTGACCTGATAAACATATGGGTTCGTAATTCTGATGATTACGTCGCCAGGTTGTGTTTTTGTTAATTTTCTGAACCTATGAGCATCTTGAATTATTTTAGAGTATCTTGTGATGAACTTTGGTCCTCCACCCCGTCAAATTGTAGTGTGTAGCTCCGACGCAACAGTACTCACTGAAATGTGTTGGAGCCAACATGATCAAATACTCGTCACAAGTTATTCCATCCAGTTTTATCGTTCGCTGTCCAATACAGGCGGTATGATAAACACAATTCAGTCAGGATACTATCGACCTGAAATTAAAAGCAAGATCGATGGTCTGCCGCGTTAGAACCCCTCTTCCAACCTTATGCGCAGTCTATTATGCCCATACTTGTATCGCGATATCCTGAATATCGTACCAACTCAAACAAGAGGTGATTTGGTACGGCATACACATTTGCTTAAAACCTCATAAACGAGAGATTCAGCTGGGTTCGAGGTAAGTCTCTCGCAAAACCAAATTTGTTTGCACATGAGTGTATTTTACTTATTTTGTGCAATGTGGTTTCAAGTAGAACATGATGTTGACGAAAACTCGGGGACTGCGCCTACCTGATGAACCCTAAGAAGGGCGGAACCGGTAGTGGGCTGTCGAAGAGTGTAGTGTGGATAATACAAAACTGTAGAGGGTCTGGAACCCGCAGCCTGCTAGCTAGTAGTCTAAACACTTAACCGCTTGCCCGCAAGCAGTTGATCAGTAGTGTGAATGACGTTCAATTAGACAGTGTGTTGCTTCGCTTACGCCTCAGTCACGGGACTTACATCACGTGGCTACATGTATTGACTAGGACTTTCCAACTCAGTTCATTGTAAATACAATAGTCAATTTCATATTGTCGATGTCGGTAAATGAAAGAAGCTGCATTAAATGACTCAGCCGATATCGACGGGAGAAAAATTCCAAACTTCCATAGCTCCATCGGACTAAAACAGAATTAAAACATCCAAAAGACACGCAATTGTTTGACGGAACTCTGTCCACAAGGTCAATGAAAACTCTTCAACTAACCATGACCGAATTCATCCTTCCTGTTGCCGCACCCGAGGCTAAAGAGCTCCATAACTCTGATGGATTCAGCTGGGTTTCGGCTCAGTCTCCGGTTGAAATCAAAATGGGAGTGCAGATCAATATACCTGGCGCATATCCATTCACTGTTTTAACTTCCAGGAAGCCAGAAAATCCTAAAAGCCGGTAATGCGAATTCCAGCATCAGTTGCACTTCATACCACCAAGTTCCATCTATCAATATCTACCCCAGCATCAGTTGCACTTCATACCACCAAGCTCCATCTATCAATATCTACTGCCAGCTTCTTTGAGTACTCGTTCATATACACGTATTAGGGATTTTATGTATAATGCGAGTAGAACGAGGTGCTTGTCAGACAGAATACACAGACCCAGCCCCAATTCAGTTAGGTATGGAACAAAGAACGTGAGCTGAAGCTTCGTCGCGTTTCACCCGGTCAAAAGTGACTGTCCTAAATAGAAGGAAAACAACTTCGCTGTCACCCAACAGACCAATCAAAACCATTTGAGCCCAAATTACTACCGACGACCGAAACCTTTGGATTCCAGTCACGTGACTCACAGCTCTGTATTCGGGAGCTAATACGAACTTTGAACTCGTGTTCGAAGAGTTTCAGTCCAGCTAGGCCATCATATGTGACAGCGAAATAACCATTTGGTCAGCAGATACACTCATTTCCATACAAATTTGGTTTTGACGGGAGACTTGTTTGTGGTGTTTCCAAGCCAAACCCGTCATGAGGTGTCAACTATCAGAAACTTATGAGTGAATCTCCGGAGTAGCACGGAACACCCAAGTCTTATTACAGTTGCGAGTGAGTGATCAGTGTGAACCTTGTGTGAGTCAACCAGTATTCTGACTCGAATTATTAACGATGCACACGTTACAATGACGTCATCTATTTGGGAAAATCAAGGAACTAATTATGTTGATGGGGTAAGTGGAACGGTTTGCAGGTGAATCAACAGTTGAACGAACTCAGACATGGATAGCAGTTAGACTAAAATCAACATAATTCGATTGCTCTGTTCATCCCTAGGTGTGCACACTCCTTTATGTTCTCATTCATCTTTTTGGACTGTCACATATGCCTCTCTGACCCGGTGCTACCCCCCACACTGCGTTAGTACTCAATGTAAGGAACCTCATTCACACATTTCATTGCCTTATTGTTGGGTGGAATCCCACACTGAAACCGCATTGCCACTTACAGTTAGGCGCTGCTACGGGTAAGAAACCTATCCCGCACGCGATTGGCCGGAAGATCAGTCGGCTTGCCGGTCCAACATCAAAGTGGGCTGTGATTGGCCGAAAGTGTGGGCCCAACAGTCAATCATCATCTAGTCCCTGCAGAATGTCGGTTGAAAATGGAAGAATGTTTCCGCTTTATACACTTCATATTCGTTGAGCTGTAAAAGTGATTTTGATCAGGTTTTATGCATTTACTTGGTACTTTTGACGAGAACACAAGCTTGAAGGGTTCAGACAGAAAACTGAGCTGAGGCATTACCATCATTACACTTACAAATCATGGTTTCAGGTAAGGTTACACGTGCTTTCCGGTTGCTAAAAGTCTTACATAGTGAAATTGAAAAGCATCTTCGCGCCATTGGATTCCAGACATTTGATTTTCCAGCTGAACTTCCTTGTGTACTTCCTGTGGGGAAACTTGGGAGCCGAAGTTTACCGAACGGACCTTGGATTTTCCTTCGATTCACAATGAAAAGACGTACAATAAAGTAGAAATAGTCAAGACGGCCTGAACAACTAAGGAATTGGCTGGATGAAATCAACTGCCGTCCGTAAACTATGCAGGATAGATTTCGCGGCGGTAAAAAAGAGACCGAAACTCAAAGAAAACGCAAACACTGGTGGGGGATCGACTGGTAAGAGAATGGGAACCTCAAAGAAGACTGAACCGAGATTGAGCCAAGTATTCACCCTCTGGAATATCGAGTGCTTCGAAAAAAGCATGGCAAAGGAATGCCAAAGACAGGAACACACTTCTGTTTTCTACGAAGTCGAAGGTGAGCGGACATATTTGCCAACGTTGCTTTGTTTCGACTGGTTTATTAACCATTTTGCTTATCAACCGGCGAACCTCTGTAGTTGAATTCATTCCTACTTCCTTCAATCTACTTTTGACGGAATGAATAAGAGTCACAAGAGGTGTTACCTCATAGCTGGTCCACACTCTTCACTTTACTACGCTTTTGTCTTGGAGAGCACAGAGGAAAGGATTTGGAAATTTCGTTTTGAGCCGTCTTCAGTTTAGTTAGCAAAACTGATCGACTTTGGTGGACATGGAGGTACAACCATGCGCTCCTTGCACAAACCGCATGGTCCGAACTGCACTGAGACGGGACTGATGTTGTTGCCTCTCAAGGCAGTCCTCGTGTAGGTCATTCTGTCGAATGCCAGATCCTCGTGTGTCAAGCTAACCTCAAATGAAATGTTTCAGGATTGGAGTTGTGGGCCGTAGTAGCAAGTGGCCTAACAAATCAGGCTAGTTTAGCATCAGACTATAACTCCGACAGGCTTTACTCTTTGCAAGACCTCAGTGTTTGCGGCTGTGTCATTCCATTTGATCACCACGTTAGCTGCCAAAACCTTCGCTATTCTTCCGGGAGTTGCAATACGAACGCACCATGAAAAGTGTCGAGTTTCTATCCTTGCAAGCCACGGCAACCCGGGAGTTTACAGTATCTTTTCTGAAGCACTGAGTTCGTTCCACCGTACGTATCACCGCTGCAGCAATTTGCAAGTTTCCCGTAGGTATAATAATTTAATAATTCGTTCAGCTGTAGCACCTTTTCGGTGCCTAGCTGCCATGCCACACGAAGGAGGCACGAGGGCTGGGATACTGTCAGGTCGCCCAAGCCTAGACAGGGGAAGTCGAGTGTCAGAGGTCGGGTTCGAACCACGGACCTTCCTGTCAGTAAATTCGCGCTCTGACCACTTGGGCCATCTCGCCCCCTCCCCGTAGGTAGGGACAACTGGACGGGGCGCTAGGTAGAACTAAAGCATTCCATCTGTGTAGAAATATCAAAAGAAGCGACACAACCATTCAATAAGGGGCTGATGTTGGCACTTCTTGAAAAAAAGCCACTTCCATCGTGATCCTGAATACGAATCGGTCCAGCCAGCTTTCCGGGTGCAACTACCTAACCACTTTGGTCCATAAATCATTTAAACGATGCATCTCCAGCAGCGGATGAGTTGAACAAAAGTCAATTTCAGTCCTGAGCAACGTTTCCCCCTTTTATGATGGAAAAATTCAGGTCTATTGAAGACCGAAACAGTTTATTCTACGAAAACCACAGTCAGGCAACTTACTGCCTAAGATCAGTTGGGTTTCATTGCGCGGTAATATATTCGTTTCGTAAAACCACACACTAAGCAGACTTTGTTTAACTAGAAAGCGGATATATGGCGGCAGATCTGTTGTCGCCTGTCTGGCAATATTTTCTGGTACGAGACAAAAATTCTCCCCGGAGAAACATGCGACGATGCTGCACTGAATTGGACGTTTTGGCGCCACCTAGATAACTTCACCGTGGGATTACTAATTTTTCTGAAGAAAGAACAAATTTTCCCACATTAGGACACTGGGTTTCGATTTTTCTCTGTAATAACAGCCCTTTTGTCTCAGTGCGCCATGGGACAACTGGATTTCCCCTGGGCCATGTTTCCAACGGAAATGTCTGTTTCGCGTGGCGAAAGCGAGTCAATACCGTTTGAAATGTTCTCGATCAGGTGTTTTTTACCTGTTTTCCCCCAAAATATCTAGAAATTTCGTGTCTAGTTACGAGAATAATGCGGGAAAAAACCAAGCCTAAAATTTATCCTCGCATCACTCCGATGAACAAAAACCTGGTTGGTAGTTGGCTCATCTTGGAAGAGAATGCCCATTGGTTTGTCGCTGACAAGTTTGTAGACTAGCGTCCAATTTTCAAATGAGCAGACACTGTAATGAATAGCACCCTTGAAGACGTCGATCGGTTTGCAAAACGCATTCCTATAAACTAAGGTTAGATTTATACGTCCTAAAATACCTCTTTAACACTTTGCCTTAGCGAAATACGCTCATTTGCAAATTAGTTTGGTTTTTCGAGAGACTCACCTGGAACCTAGCTGAATCACTTGTTTGTGATGTTTTCAGGCAACTGAATGTGCTGCACCAGGCCGCCTCATATTTCAGTCGCTACAATATTCGAGATATCGAGGTACATGTATAGACGTAATGCACTACTCGTAAGGTTGCTGAAAATCCATCGACAGCCCACGACCAGTTTCGCCCTTCCACTTCGGGCTCATCAGGTAGGCGCAGTCCCCGGGTTTCCGTCAACCTTATGTTCTACTGGAAACCAAATTGCACGAAATTAGCGAATATACACTCATTTGCAAACTAATTTGGTTTTACATGGTCGGTGGCGCATTCGAACGCCTAGATTTTTCACCAACAGAACGTGCATTGCGCATCATAAATCAACTGAGTTCGTCCTACTCGGATTCTTTAGTGCTCCTTGGTGGATGAATTCGTTTTTGTTGACACAGACGCCTGGTCGAGTTCAAGGTGATCGTTTGAATTCGATTACAGAATCATACCTTAATACTGCATTAGATGAAGTCGCAAGTATCGAACATTTCAACTCAGGGGAAGAACACATCCTTGCGGATGAACACAGGTATTTGTGTTCAAACTCATCAGTAACCAGATACCTGAATGACGTTTTTTTACAGCAACCGATTTCGGAGGGTATGTCGGGATTCCGAATAACCCTACTGGCTCCATTTAGGAACAAGTGACACAGTTTCGGAACTGCATACGTTATGTAAACAAAGTGGCTCGAACGACATCATTGCTTTTCAGACAAATTCATCTGCTGAAACCTGATGTGAGGTAGCCGACGGATGTTGACACAGGTGAACACACACACACAAAGTTCTCACACGAGAAGCAGTGCAATCCATCATGCATACCCGGTCGGTTTGTTTGTTTGTTGACTCAAGCCGTCATAACCTTCGGACAAACAGCCGCAGACGTCAGCGAATATAGCTTGATCAAATAGCCCCTGGAAGAGCCAGCCAGCTGCATGGAGTCAGGAGACGTGCGGCATGGCATCGCGGCATTGTTCTGACCTTATACATATGTTTTCACTCAATTCTAGTGGATTAGGCAGAAAAAACATCAGTTCCAACCCTTGGACCAAACCCACACACGCCGTGACAATGTTCATCGCCTCGACACCATAAAGTGTGACCTCATCAGCATGAGAATCTGCCAGTCACACCAAGTCCACACACACACACACATACCGAAGCCTTCTGTAAATCAACCTACAATGAGCCATAATTCGAAGCTGCTGGGGTCTGTGTTACGGACTAGGAATTCGAGAACGGGGCTCATCCAAAGAAGTGTCATGGTCTTAGGCAGAATTACACATGGATCCCGCTATACCGCGCGTCTTTAGGCGCTGCTACGGCCGATAAGCCTAGCCCGCACCAGATTGGCCAAGAATTCGGGACGCTTGCCGGTCTGGCATCAAGACGAGATCTGATTGGTCAACAATCTAGACCCAACAGCCAATCATGACCCAGTATTGACCGAATGCCGGTTGCCGATGACGCATCCAGAACGCGTCGGAATTTCCAGAAAGCCTACGCTATATATATGAAGCGCGGTACCACTGTTCCTGACTTCGTTTGGGGCGTTAATACACCTTGTTCACCTTTGGTGGTTGTCCTGACGTGAACGCTAGCTTGTGAGGCTCAGACCGAGAACTAAGCTGAGAAAAATACTGTTGCTACACCTGGAAAAGTGGTGTTTTATGTAGCTAACAGGAAGTAATCTTGGAACATTTGAATCTACTGACGAGGTTAGAAGCATTTGAAGAACTGAGGACAGAATTCAAGGGGAATTTTTTCGCCAAACATGCGGACGCTGCTTTTTTCAAGATGGCCTGGATGCGGGGATAAAGGATATTTTTGTTTTATTTTATAGTATTAGACCGGGAGACTAAGATATGGAGAAAAATGGACAGATGATACTTTGGTCATCATGGGGTCTACCGAAGTTATTCAGTGAGGGAGTGAGGAAATGGAAATCGAATGTACACATCATTGTCTAAACATTTGTCATCATTGTATCTGCCTCTGACGCTCCAAAACACACGTACGTTTTCCAGTTGACTGACATCC